TCAGCAGCTCAAGTTTATTGCAGCATTAGGTGTAGCAATGTGTTGAGAATAGGCCAAGTGCTGTTCATGTCTTTCAGGGTGTAATAACTCTTGGCATTTGGCTGTGGGGTTTTGTTTGCTGTTTTCTGTCACTAAATCTCAAATAGTTCTGCTGATGGGGGTCAGGCTTTCCGCCTCTGCTTTCTAAAAGGGTGGAGAGAGAAAGAGAAACAGAAGTGTGGCAGGATGGGATGGCCTGCCTGGGTATGCTGGGCAGGCTGAAGTTTTAGCCCATAGGATCAGGCTGGAAACTAAGGAGGAAAGAGGCATACTCACAACCTTTATTGCTGCATATTGTAAAAGAATGTCTTAAATAAGACCCCAGGCTCATGTACATCTTTCATTTCAGGTTCACCAAACACATCTCTTCAGATCCATGTGCTGTCCCTGACCTTGGGTTACTTTATCTTTGACCTGGGCTGGTGCCTATATTTCCAGACAGAGGGGGTCCTAATGCTGTTCCATCACACGCTGAGCATCTGCGGCATGATCATGGTGCTGGGGCTCGGGAAGTCTGCTACAGAAGTCAATGCCGTTGTATTTGTGAGCGAGATCACCAACCCACTGCTCCAGACCCGTTGGTTTCTGCGGGAAATGGGGTGTTACCACACTTTCCTGGGAGAGGTGGTGGATTTCTTCTTTGTGTTCCTCTTCCTGGTGCTGCGAATCGGGGTAGGAGCTTTGATCCTGTATGCGATGGTGACATCTCCTGATCCCAGCTGGCTCCTGAAGGCTGGAGGCCTGGCCATGTACATTGTATCTTTGGGGTTCATGGTTGAAATATGCCGCTTTGTCAAGAGGAAAATGATGAAAAAATATCATTCCTGGACAAGCCTGAGGAGTAAGAATGCACCTGTGAAAACTAATGGGCACTTGAGAGCTCATTAATGGGTTGTGGATGACAATCCCTTGGGCTAGAGTCCTGGCTACTGAAGACTATTTCTGTGAAAAGATCTCCTAAAAGTGATGTGGAATTGACTTTCTGGCACTGGCAGTGGTCTGCTACCCCTGGAGGAGATGAATCAGCGCTAGGAACATGGGAGAGCTGAAGGAAGAGGGGTTTGAGTGGAAACTGAGGAACCTGACATGTCTACTGAACTCTGATTCCCTGACTTCTCCACCAATGGCACAGTCTCAGCAAAGGTGGCAATGCCAGACCTATTCAGTCTACAACCAATAATTGCACAATCTGTATGTTCTGTACTCATTTTGGAGGTAGAATTATTTTGTACTGTAGAGCCAGAAAATCAAATCTGAAAAATCCTGTCTTCCTGCCAGTGGGACCAGGTAGGGGTGTGACCTAGCAAAAATTTACTGAGCCTCACTCTCCCTTAATCCTGGAGTTGGACAACATGCTTGACTAAGTACTTGGATGAAGGCCTCTGAACAAGATTCAAGTGCTTGCAGGGGTATAGTGGAGTTGTCCTTTGAGCGTGTGAAGTGATGGTACTTGAGGTGAGACAGTGTTTTACCTCATTATTTGTAATGATACATTTCCTTTTTTTTCTTTTTTTAAAATACTTGCATTCAAGCAGATACTGATCTTAGAGCAGTGTGACTTCACTGGGATTGACTCAGGCCCTTGCAAACTAGAGTAAAAAATTAGACTTGTGCCAATAAACTCCATAAGCAGGTGTTCACCTAGCCTTGGATTGCTTTAAAAAGAATAAAAATCAGGCACTTTGTGGGTGAGAGATGATAGAGAAGAGCCCTCTCTGGATGCTTTTTCTGTTCTGGGGTTGGCTCATTTACAAGTCGCTTAAGCTGAATGCATGGCTAACGAGTCTAAGTGACTATATTTTCAGGGGTGACTAATGTTCAGGCAGATCTCAGTGTAACATCTGCTCCCATACCAGCAGGTCTCAGAGTATGGACCAGTTCTCTTGGTTTTTTTACCTCTCAGAATCATGTTCTGACATTCCCTCTGGGGTTTTAATGTGAATTTCCCTCTATTTAAGGCTGCAGTTCAGACTTACTCTCCCATAAAAGCCTCACTTACAGCTGAGAAACAAATGGGCTTGTGTTGCCCTCAGGCTTAGCAAGGCTGGTTGCCTTTCCTTCCTGCTTTCAAAGACCTTGTTTAGAGGAGCTTCTTTATGGAGCTAAAGAGCCCCTGAAACAGCCTGTGTGGCTCTTGCTCAAGTGAGGTGTCACCCCTGCTGCAGAGATGAAGGAGAGGAGCAGAGGGAATACAGCTGCTGTGGGGATGCAGCCTTACTAGTTCCTCCATGCCTCTTATCTCACTGACTCTGGCACTGTTCAGGGCAGATATCTGCCTTGGCTGAGGGTTAGAATAAGGTGTCTGGAGAGATTAGAAAATGACATGAAATAACCTAACTTTTGACGTGCCCTCTGAATGCATTGCAGCTGTGAATCCAGGCAAGATAGCAGGCTAATACGTTTTTCTAAACAGGAGCCTTGCACTCCTGATAGGTTGCCAGCATGGCTGTGGAGGGCTGGCCTCGTGAGGTATGGTCTTGCCAGAGTCACTGTGCTCTTCCGAAAAATCCGATGAGTGATGAGACTTCTAATAAAGTTATGTTCTCTTTTTAAAAAGAAACGGTTGCTGTAATGTTCTTTTGTTCCAGGTCTTGAGGAGGCAGCTGAAGTTAATGCTGAGGAAAACAGGCCTGAGGGTAGCCTAAGCATGCTAAGGCTAGTAGTCATTGACAAAGCTCTGGCTCATGCCCTTCGTGCAGTTCAGGAAGGAGTAAGCTGGTGGGGAAACAAGCACAGATGGAGCCATGTGCTGTGGAGCTCAGGCTTGAGATGTGAAGGATAGATGAGGGTCAGCTGAAGCTCAGATTTGTGACTAATGTACCCATAACCTGCCTTGCCAATGAATCACGGTCAGTATCGCAGGGAACTTAAGAATGGGCCATTAAACTGAGGTGTTTGCTCTTGATAGACACGAGGTCACAGGGTAACTGTTAAATTCTAGTCATGGCCCACATCGCAGGTTCCCTTTCTTTTTCTGCAGCACCAATGCCTCTCCGTTGCTGCGTTTCATCCTAGGAATGACAAATTCAGAAGGCTTGGGTTGCAAGGTGGTTTGCCTACACTATCTTTGGAGAAGCAATTGAAAGCGTGAAAACACCTTTGGTGTTATGAGATGTCCTGAGCCACTGCTGAGTGGCTGTTTCCAGCTGAGAACCTGCCACTGCTGGGCCAGGACTCTGCTGTCTGGAGTGGAGGTGGGTCTGGGCTTGGCTTCCAACAAGCAAACTCTCTTCCTTCAGCTGAGGGACAATAACCCAGTGCACCCAGCTTGCTTGCATACAAAACAGAACTGACGGTAGTTATCCTGTGAGATTTGAAGCAAAGTAAGTGCCCTCAGGTGGTCATGCACCACATCTCATCTAAGGATAGTTTTAGCGTTAAACTCTCTAATGTGATGCTTGAAAAGCATCTGGCTCCACCCTCAGTATCCCATTGGATTTCTTATTCGCTAACATTTCAAAGAATGTAATTTTTAATACAGGTGCCTGATTTTTATCTGTCAAACGTCCTTGAGGGCTTTTACAGCCACAAAAAGTGAGCATCAGTCTTGGCCTATCAGTGAGGAAGGCCATTGGGCTCTCGTGTATTTCCAGTTCTCATGTATTTCCAGTTTATTTTTGGACAAGAAGTCTCCCAGTGTTGGCAAGTTAATACCTTCTGTGACCTGTTGGTACTGTAAGCTCTTGTTAGAATAGGTACAGAAAGAAGACAAGAGGAAAGAACGTACTGCTGAGGGAGGATGTAGCTATACTAAAAGGGGTAGCAGTGTGAGCAGAGGTTCCCGTCCTGAGCTGTTTTGCTGAATGGAATTCATCTGCAGGCAAACTGAGCCAGTGCAACTCAGCCTGCCTATTTAAATGGCTGACTCTGCACAAAGCAAACAAGAAAATTAGTGTATAAGCTGCACCTAACTTCTGGTACAATCCACTGGGAGATGATTTAACTTGCCGCCTTGCATCTCGCTAGATGCAAATTTTGCACACTGTATGATCTAGGACAAAACCACCCACAACTCCTTCTCTACATTCTACCTCGGGCATTAAATGGTCCTTGCCTTGTTAGGACTTTCAGAGTGCTCTTCCGTGACCATCTCTGTTGTTCTTCCTGGCTGCCCAGTTTCTGTGCTATGAGTCAATGTTAGCCCTATAGCTTTCTGTCTGTCAACGCTTCTTTATCCGAAGCTTTAATACTAGAACATCTCCATCTCAGTCATTATTGAGGCTGTTGGAGGGGGCCTGGTGCCTGGTCTAGCAAAGGTGGGGGAAAGCAAGATGAGACCTAAGATTTGTCAGAGAAGCAAATGCACTGTTAATGCCGGTGAGGATGTTGTGCTGAAACAGCTGAAGAATGAGCGTCTTGTAGCAATAGGAACCTGTGCCTGGCCTGAACTGGGAAAGTAAGATAGAGATCCAGTTGAAAATGGGCTTATTACAAGTGCTGTAAGAGGCAGGACAAGCAACTGCCGCCACCTGTATTTCAAAAGGTAAAACTTGACAGGATGAAGGAAAAAAAACAACCCTACTTCTGGGTGTGAGAGGTTGTTTCGGTTGCAGCTTACGAAAGGAGTGAGTGTGTTGGTTGGAGGAACATTTGTGTAAGCTACTTTAGGTGTCCTGCATAAGCCCTGTATTTTGCTGCTCTGTGGATGCAGATGGAGGCGGGCGAGAGAAAAGATGTGGTTTAGCATTGAATGCTTGTAGCGAGAAGAAATTGCTAGGCTTTGTAACTGCTGCATAAGCATTGGATGAGAGGGTATGTTTCGGGCAGGGCTGTGTGCTTTCCCAGCCTGCCGAAGCTGCAAGCTCTGTGCTGCGCCTGGATGCTAAACCCCGCGGGGTACGCTACCTTGCAGCGGGTGCTATCCTGACACGGTTTTGCAAGTTCTGCAGAACGGCGGGTTCGCGCCAGGCGCTGCCTGGGTGCGAGCGGAGCGCGGCCAGGTCTGCCTGCCTGCAGCCCCTTCTCTCCGGGACGCGTGAGATGACTGGAGCGGGTCCCGGGTGCGTGGGACCGATCTCCCGTGCCCACAGACTAAAGCGATGATGCCCTGGGTGGGTGCGTGTGCCGGGTGAGAACCTGACCTGCCTCTCGTTCGGGGAGCGACAGCCTCCCGGGCGCTGAAGCCAGGTCCTCCCCGCCTGACAGAGACCCGCCGGGTAGAGCAGTGGGGGCCAGACCCCGAGGCCGCCAGCCCCTCGGCTGGGTTTAGGAGCCATGCGGCCCCCTCCTTCCCTCCCTCTCTCCTTCCCGCCGCCCTTGCCGTCCCTCCTCCTCGCCAGCAGGTGCCCCTCGGCCGCCGCCGCTTCCTCTTCCCGGGTGGCGGAGGTAGGCCGGGCCGGCCCGGGCCGGCCCCAGCAGCGGCGTCCCTTCAGGTGGGTGCGCGGGGCCGG